CGACTCCAGGGGTCGTGGGTTCACACGGGACAAGTATTTGTGTGACCCAAGGAGGGCGTCAGGCAGGCTGCTGAAACCTAAGCCAAAACTTAATTCACATGCTGTTCCGACCCCACCAAGGCGAGATAAGAGCAGGAGGATGATGAATGTACAGTAATGTACAGTACGTAACACCGAAATCCCATAACGTACTACAGCGAAACGCTGCCGAAATTTTGCTTATGTAGCATTATTACACGAGATTGTATTATGTACGTCAACATTGTAATAGTTACAATAGAACATTGTGACTATTACAATGTATGGCAAACATTACGCGCAGTAGCAGTCCACGTGTTTAAGCAATTACTTCAGAGGTGACTTGCTTAGGTCCACATTTGAGTGGTCGCGGGTGATGTCATCGACCGTCTCTAAGTCGGCGTTAAGCGTTATGAATAACATTTTATGAACTTGGATATGGCGTATCAAGGGCTCGATCCCTGTGACTCACTAAGCTTGCAAGTGTTTATAATTAGCATGAATTTCTTTGAACTCTTGCCGCGTGCAAACCTTCGGTAGGCGAAATCGAAAGTAATCCATTGCTGTATTACTGCTTTAATGGAACTACTAAACTAATTCTCTCAAGTCGCAGAATCGAAAATAAAAAACATATAAATAATATACCTACCTATGAAAAAAAATATATTTAATTTGTTTTCCAATATTTCCACAGTTGTCCTAGGTAAAAACGTCTAAATAAATTTGCAGTTGCATTTAATAAAAAAAGTCAAATTAAATGGTAAGTATTCATAATGATTGTTTCTTATGCTGTTGCAATGCCAGGCACATTTTTGGTGAGGGTGTGTGAGTGATAACCAGACCCCACATTTTTAAACAACACATCCAATGTTTACAATGGTTCTGAATGAAAGGTCTCAGGTATTGTAATATCTATGGGTAGCGGTAGTCATTTAACATCAGATGAACCACCAGCTCACTTGCCAACAAGAAACAATATAAAAACATATTATTCTTATTTTAGTTTAAAGTACCTACTTATTGATAGCCTATTAAAACATAAGTAAGAATTTGTCATTGTCTTTACTATTGAAGGCCAATTCTTGAATATAAGGAAGTGACCTATTACATACAAACATGTAAGGCATATTTTAAGTTTTAAGTTTCACAATAACTTGTGGAAACAATTTTAGATAAAGGGATAGAGAATAAGTTTATGCTTATATACCTGAATATAATACAATTTTAATTTAATAAAATATAAGTACATTAGAAAGTATGTCATTATCAAACTGTAAAATTTTATTGTGTAATTAAGTAGACTTGTGTAATTTTATTCCTTTGTTTTATCTGTACTGTTATATTTTAGTCATTGATATTGATATATGAATATTGGAAGTTTACATTTATGTCCAATTTTTTACCCTTTAAAGCTCATAATTGAAATTAACAAATATTTTTAACATACTAAATTTTAACAAAACAATAATTCAGTTATGGGTAATTCTTTTGTATCCTGTAGCGTGCTTAGGAAGGAGGGAGGGGGCAGGGGGAGTGGGAGGAGGGATGTATACCCTTTTTTTCTTGACAAATTAACTGATAAAATACTACAAATGTCCTTAAACACCACTTCCTAATGCTTTAGAATGTAAATATGCAAATCTCTAGAAACAAAATGATACTCTTCTATATAATTCCTGGTAGTGGTAACTTACGAACATATTAATTTTTATGTAGAATGTAATTATGTAAATCTCTTGGGCCAAAAGTCAAAAGGATAATGTTCTATAAGATTCCTAGTAGTTCATGTATAATGCTTAAAAAATTAATTTCTTGTAAACTATGAGTTTTTCCACCAGACCTACATTTCCACCAGAAAATCCTACTAGTATTAATTTCAATGGCCTATTAGCTACCTGTACCAATTAAAGTTATAATGAAAATTGTGCTACCCCATACTAAAGCAAAGCCTTATTCTGTATCCAATATCACATTCTTTTATAAAAGTTAACATCAACATTGCTCTCAACACAATAGCTGCCAGACATTTGAAACAAATGAAACTTGGTTAGGTTAATAAACAATGCAGTTTCCATTCCCACAATATAAAAAAGATTTTTACCTAGTTACTACTGAAGAAGTAAAAACTAAGCAAGTAGTAGTTATTGGAACAATAACATTACTATTATTTAAAACAAAGTTATATATAAATAAAATTTCAAGTGTCGCATACAACAATTGGGTTATCACAAACTCCTGGCAACAATAAGAATTTGTATTAAGTAATATTTAATGTAAACTTTATACATATCTGTATCTCTAATATTTCGACTGTAGGACTCTGATGATCACGAAATAATTAAAACTAATAAGTATAGTGATAACAGTATTAAAGATAAGGGAAAAGATAAAATTTAAGAGTATTAAGGACCTACCAAAATTCTGATTTTAAAATACTGTTTTATACTGCCATAGTCGATAGAGATAGAAATATTGTTTCAAAAAAATCGTGTTGGGCAAAATGCACTACTTTAGAAATAAATAGAGCAATTGGCATTGTTGATTTTAGAATAAGAACCATCTAACAGATCATTTACAAGTCGTCCGCCTACTTCAACTTGCCGTTGCTTCAACGCCGTAACACTATTAGTCATGCCAATGAGATAAAATATTTACGAACAACTCACCACTCGGATGTTTATACGTCAAGTACACTTTAAAATACGATAAGATAATCCTCAATTCATCATTCAATCACAGCACAAAATTTTTACAGAAAATCACAAACACAACACATACGTCACTTGCAGCTATCCGCCATTTTATAAATTTATTTTTGTTGTGCCACTGTAAAATGTTGCTATATTTTATATCAGAATCTAGAATTTATAAAATTGTAAATAAGAAACGTAGCATTCGTTACCTTTTTTTGTAAATGACTATAAAAGGTGGGCGTATTACAACAAATATAATATTTTTGTACGTCTTTCTCATCAATGATAATTTTTATAAGATCAAGATTGTCAAATTGCATCCCATGTAGATTTAACACGTTCACAGCGTAACGAGGCCTAAATAATCCTTCATGCAACTTCCCTGTGGTGCGGTGAGGAAAAACGTGAACTTATCTGTCGAGCGATGAATATGACTTCGGTTTGGTCCAGTGTAGGAAAGAGATAAATATATATTTGAGATGTGCTAATGGTCCCGGACTCGGTGGTAGTAGACTTAATTAATATAATTTTAATATCTTAGGGATATTTGTGCGGCCAAAAATGAGGCTAAAAAGGTTCCTATTAGACCCCCCCCATTCTGATTCACGCGGGTCCCTTGTGAAAATGGATTTTAATCTGTTAGGGAGGTGGGGTCTATTAGACCGCGTGTCGCCCCAACGTCTGGTCACGATGCGGGTCGATAATACCTTGTGCCCCAGGAACGGAAATAATGCAAAAATTGGCCGCAGTGAACGTGTTAAAAACTAACAAACCATTTATGTTAATTATTCTCCACGAGCATTGAGTCTCCTACAACCACATAAAACCTCTTTAAATACATCCAAATCGATTATATAAGTATATACGGAATGCTACATCACATCGTGACCTTAAAGTCGGTACTATGCTAACTTATAAGACATTTCATTCAAACTCATTTAAATTCTTTGGGACAAGCTTTCATTATCCTTTCTACACCACCGCACGACGTGCGAGGTAGGACCATCTAACACGTTTATAAGACATCGACGTTTTAGCGAGATGACGAATTAAGGTAGGTTACACTTTAATCACTCGCCACTTTGACACTCTAAATGTCTCAATCGTTCCCTTTGAACTCTCGAATATTAATTGAAATGAGTTTTTAACATAATAATATTTCGTATATAATTAAATTTAGCAAAACAAGGCGCTCACTTTTACTTTAATATAATCGAGCAACCTGAGTACGATTCCCGGCGCCGGCACCAATGAAATTGTTATTTCAAGTGCCGACTTGTTATGTGCTCAGCGGTAAAGGAAAACATCGTGAGGAAGCCTGTATGGAAATAATGATAACGAAAAAGGAGATTTCTGTAAAGTGGAGGCCTTTGCCTAGCTGTGGGACATGTATAAGCTGTTACTTTACTTTAATTTTAAACATATTGGACGTTACCACTATCCATCACGGTCCGAGCCGAGGATCAAACCTCAGTCGCAGGGATCGTGTCATGTCCAGTCAGAGTGATCTTCTTAATGATCAGAATGATCAATTCAAAGAGTTTAACCATCCTTTTGGCAACTTAAATACTAAGCTGATTAGTTAGTTTCCATGATGATCAGTGTTTCAGAAATCGTGAGTTAATGAAACGATTTACTATTGGTTAAATGGTATGAAATCGACGAGTGTTTTTGACAAGAGCGTATTCAAACCTTCAATAAAGTGTTTCAGATTGCGCAAGAATAATAAATTATATTATATGTTGTTATAATAACAACCAACTTTGCTTGTCGATTTTTACTAAGGGATGGCAAGTAAAAAAAAATATCTATATGTATCCACATTTAAAAAAAGTATTGATAATTATCGAGCGAAAAATATCGGTGGATGGCATTTTTCGCATGATATATATTTTCAAACCATTCAAAATACGTAAAATATAATGGAAATGAAGCAAATAGTTGAAAAGCGTTTTTAAAGTTAACGATGCGCGAGGAGTAAGCAAACCTTATCTAGTAACATGAAAACACGAAACTTTAAAAAAAACATTGAAATTGAACACTAATTATATTTCGCGATGAAAAATATCGACGATATAAATATATTGATAAGGTATGGAAAAATATCGATATTTTGCCTAGTTTTTAGTTTTACTTTGTTTGTATTTGTTAGTGTCAGTGTCAGTGTCAAAATTATCAATTGATTTTAAGATAGTCAATTCATTGATAAATTAAAATAGCATGATGTTAAAAAGTATTTATGTAATATTACAGCATATCTAAAATTATTTAACATAATTTATTACTATTATGACAGACAACGCTCAGAAACTGTTCTCGCGGTTAGAGTCTTTCAGAAATAGTTTGTTAGTGTTCAGTAAAAGGAAGTCGGTTAGATATGGATTGCCTTTTATATTATTTGTAATTGGCGGATCATTTGGTCTTCGAGAATGGACACAAATTAGGTAAAATAGTTAATTTGTTTAATTTAATATATCTTGTGTTGAGAACAAAATAGGATAAAAAGGAGTGTTGATATGTAAAACCGTAAATTAAATATATTTTCTTAATGCTCAAACTTCTATCCCTGTGTTATAATTTTATTTATTTGTATCATTTTTCTAATAGGTACCAGTTTTCAAGGGTAAAGGGTGTTAGTAAGGAAGAAGCTGAAAAAATGGGACTTCATAAAACTAAAACAGTGACGCTAGAAAAAGCATATGAAGAAATACAAAAATTAGATATAGATAATTGGGAAAATAAAAGAGGTCCAAGACCATGGGAGATGGATGATTCTGAGAAAAAATAATTTTTGTTTATTATATTTTACATGTATGAATGTAAGAATTTCTGGTTCATTCATTGATAAACTAGACTTCAAAAAACTTAATGTATTTCCAATTCAACACTGTAGGGAAAATAAAAGTGTATTTTGAATAGTTAAAATTTAGGCATTTATTAGTTTTCTTTTTTCTATTCATTAAAAGTTGTAAACAATTGTTACAAACTTGGAGTTTCTTTTGGGTTTACCCTGGGATAATAATACCAAGATATCATCTTATTGGCATTACTTAATTTTCTTCAGATCTGAGACTGTAAACTTTCTTGAATGGGATTTACATTATTCTTAAACAACATTAGTAACACATTGTGTCCTTGTCTAATGGTAGGTATATTGCTTTAACTCTTTATTGCAACCTCTATTAGTACTCACTTTTACGCAGACATACTTGTCGACATAATGCAGAGAAAAAAAAATAGTTTTCAATTGAAATGATGATGTCACGAATACATAAATTTAGTGAAGAAATATCTGTTTACAGTTTAAACCTGTAACCGAAAGATTGAGGTAAATGTGAAATGACAAACCAAACTGCATGTTTCTTTTTGAATAAATTATTTATCTTGAAAAAAAAAAAGTGGAAATTTTTAGAAATAAATTAATTAAGTTCTATATTTGTAATGGCAACTCAGCAGAAGTTCAAACCTATAAAAATTGAATTTTGAATTCATTAAAACAGACAGAACTGGACATAGAAATTGGACAGTCAGACCTTTATCACATTTATGGTGCTTTTAAATGCAATATTTATATTATTTGGACAAGACATGCTCACTCTACAATTGCAGGGTAGACTTAACCTGCAAGGCATGGTAAGAGAGTAATGGTCCGTATGGCATTTATAAACCCTATCTGAGAATTTTTTTATGTGATAAGGTGGCATGCGTGCTGATGGTTCGTTCACTAGTTGGTACTCATCACATTTGCATACATGGCACCCATAGGGGTGCAGATGCGTTGGCACCTTTTAATAAGGGGGCCCCTGCTACCTCAGTCACCAGACGAAACATGGTAGTATAATTTTTCCACTTCACGCCGGTCTTCTGTGAGATTGTGGTACTTACATGGACGGATCTGCCCATTCATACAAAAGCAAGGAATGTTACATGAACCTCCCTTTCTTGATATAATGGGAGCTTTTGACAAACCTTCTACTGATATCATGCATAGTGTATGAATGTTTGGAGGAAAATATAACAAGAAAATGATCTTGACTCCTTTCAGTGTAGATTGATTTTTTTTTTAAATCTTCTTAGTTGTATACAAAAAAATTCAAAACTAGAGAAACAATAAAAATACTATAGCACTCAGGGATTGGGGGATCGAAGCAGCGGATGGCTCGAGCTACCTACCGACTATTTCCGTCCGAAACTCCTTCAGGGTGCCTAATCTGGCTCAGTTTATGGCATAGGAGAGGCATCAAGGCTACCTGCTTTGGCACGGATTGGCTGGCCTGACTCATTCAAAACAGTTAAACCAAGGCTTTCCCACCCAAACTTTCAGCTGGGGTACTAAACTAAACTGGTGGAGTGGAGTGTAACTATACTCATTAGGGCCCTCACGGGGCACTGTAAATTAAACAGGCATCTAAACTGAATGGGATTGTCGGTGAGTCTATTGTATAGATACTGTGGTGATGATGTGACACTGCCTCACAATCTGTATGTGTCTGGAATACCAGAGTTAAATATTAAAGTATTAGGAATTGGGAATTAGGAGGGCCCGAATTGGCAACAAAAGATGCCCAGATTTCATCTATAATATAATACCAATGACTTGAAGGGATGACTAAAATAGATCTTCTAGGTTGCAGTGGTTGTTGGGACTTACTACTCAACCAATTCCACATAAATCATAATCATAACCTGCATGGCTTACAGCTCACTCTGTTAAACTTTATAGTGGCTGATAGAAATAAAAATCAGTCACATTATGTGTTCAGAGTTTTGTGCAGGAGGCAGTTCATTTTTAATACACAAGTTGTAAAAAAGAAAAGACCAACACTTTTATTTAGAATTTTAATAAAGGAAATGATACATGATACTTTGCATATGTAACTACTAATTACCTAGTGAGAGTATATAATATATTCTACTTATTAAGGCTATATATGTTTTATTAGCATTTAAAAATCCATAAAGTTAAGCACTATAGTGAAAAAATGTTAATTACTGATGCATTCCTCTGCATAAATATGTTTACATTTTATTTATTCAAATAAATTATATGTAGATTAATGAATAAGATCTGTTGTAGCCATTGATCTTGACAGTGAGTGTGTTAGTGGAAGTAGTGCTCTTCTGTATGTCTTCTGGTTGGATGCATCTAATTGAGAGCGGTGGAGGTGAGCAGGGCTACTCCGCGCTCGTAGAACGCGTGCGGCTCCTGCCCGGGCGCGATCGACAGGCGCACGGTGAACAGCAGTTCGGAGCGAGCGCTGTTCAAGTACACTGGCAGCGTCAGGTCTGCCCTCCGACAGGCGCCTCTGGACCGCTGCAAATATATTGTTATTTTAGAATAATAGCTTTAGGCCATATTTTTACACACCGCCCTCTAGTGCCAAGCTTATCAACGCTTGCACTATGGGTAACACATAACACACAAAAACATACTTTTCTTGTCTGCTTACCCAGATACTGGAAAAACACTATATTCATCACACAATATTTTCCAGTAGTGGGGATCAAACACACACCCTCTGGCGCAAGAGGCAGGTTCACTGCCCACTACGCCAATCGGGTCGTCAAACATCTAATGAGTTCCGCGTTCACAACTCACGCCTCGCTCTGATTCCACGTCCCGAAATCTCTTCACATGTCTGCGGATCTTTTCTGACCAAATTGTATGAAATATTGGTAAGACTTGTAATTTCAATAAATTTTCTGATTTTTTGCCAATAAAGTTTATTTTTTTGACAAATTAAGTTTAATATTTTTCTTTTGAACATGAAGAAACTGCTCACAACTATCATTTATATGTGATGAATGAATTTTGTGAATTTTAAGAACACTATCGCCACTTACCGGACCCAAGTAAGGACAGTCAGAGGTAAATCGACCATAATTGTGTTGGTGAGGAGCAAGCGATTCCCTTTCACAGTAGCACCCTGTAGCTTCAGTCCCGTTACTGAGAAGGACCATTCAGTTTGAGCATTCTCAGTTGGTGTTCCAGGGTCGGGAATAGTGACCTGCCAAAGAAATAATGTGATATTAATATTAAATAATAGAATTTGAATATATTATAATTCACTAATATTTAAAATAAATCATATGTATTGTCTTTTATTTTGACATTATTAATATTATTTATTATAAATTTAAGCAATATATTAAGTTAAACAATAGCTATAACAAACCTGCAAATGTAACTCTTCAAGAGACCAAGAGTTTGCTTGTGCCACGCATTGACGAGTTGCAGTTATATATGCTTCGGGATTGAGTAGTCCGCCAAGCCACACTGGGATACTCTAAAAAGGAAAAAATAAAATGATTGTTAAATTAGTCACTGAATTGAATGAAAAAGTAAATCTCTGCCATCAATTAAAGTTGTAATTGACAAATACTTAGATTCGAATCAATTATCTGTGGGTCACACAAATAGTTGTCTTGTGTGGGAATCGAACCCATAACTCCCGGCGCCGAAGCCAAAATAGTTTGACAACTGCGCCATGGAGTCATTAAAATATGTTACACTGAAAAGTCTCTGCAGAGTGAGGTAGGCAGGCGCGTCCACTAGGATGTGTATATACAGCGGTTCATCACGTGCATACCTGCCACCGCACCAAAGGTATTCTTCGACCGGATTTTCGTGGGTGCGATCAGTATCTTCGTCTTCCTAGAACTATCTCTTTAAGACTCCCCCGTTTCAACAAAAGCAGGAGGTGCGAACTTAACGAGGCGGGCGCATCTGCTTGGCGCTGCGGTGATAACGTAGATCCCTACCTGTTTTGGGTACGACTCGCATCGTTGTCTTCTCGGAACTATCTTTTAAAAATCCCTACCCCTCTCATACAAAAATGAGGGGTTGCTAACTTAACGGGTTTTCCCGCATAGTCGTCTTCTGAACTATCTTTTAAATGAGGGCGCGTTCGCACCTGCAGCCGCTTGGCGGCGCGGTGATCACGTAGATCCCTACCGCACAACAGGTGGCCGTCGAGTGGGTTTTCGTGGGTACTCCCCGCATAGTCGTCTTCACAGATTCTCTAATGAGATTTTTTTTCGACGAGCAAATGTGAGTTCGCGCGTGAGTGGCAAACTAGCGGGCTTGAAGAGCCTGTCTTGTTTCGAGGGCTATAACCCCATTACTTTTTAAGACCCCCCCCCCCCCCCCCCCCAGCCAAAGTGGAGGGGGCCAGAGGGGGACAGAGGCGCGTTCGCACCTGCAGCCGCTTGGCGCCGCGGTCGGCCACCGCCGCGGAGACCTCCGCCAGCTGCTGCACGCGCCTCGCGAAGTCGCCCGCCCACTGCTGCACGGTGCAGCCGCGCGCCACCGCGTAGCGCCGCCACGAGGCGGGCAGCATGCCGCGCACCAGCGACCCCACCATGGCGCGCGTCTCGTTCGTCTGCTTCATCTCGCCCTAAAGAAAGTCACGTTATCGCTTATAAAGCTATTGGAGCTGTGCTGAGAAGTGGAGGGTGAGGACGGCCGAAAAGTATAAAACTTCAGTTGCTGTACATTTCGCTCTTTTGTTCGGAGTCGGAAGCGGTCGTGCTGTATGAACGAACCAACCTACACTTTTAAGCTTTTATTATTGCCAAGTGTTATGTTATATTAACTGTAATACGCAGTGAGCCATTAAATCCTGTATTTAAAAAAAAATTTTCAGAATTTTGATTACTAAAAATACACATTTTAACGTTATACTGTGGGGCCACGCAGCAACATTAGTTGTTAGACGAAGGGGCAGGCTCGTCAGGGGAAGTTTTTTTTTTCTACAACTTGGCTGACGACAGAAAGCTATGGAA